CCAGCACATCACCCTGTAATATTTTGGTTCTTCTGGTGTCCAGCAGGTGGGAAAGCAGGACCAGAAGAGAGAGGCTTATCAGCAATTGGGGTAGGATCATTTCGAGATGGAGGGATCTTTTTGTAGTGAGAAGCATTGGCCAACAGTCAGTTCTTGGCACTTCACAGCAGTGTTGGTGGTTAGCAAAACTTGGTAAAGGTCTTTCTAGAGCAGTCTTTTGCTGATGGACATACGAGTCTCTATTGTCTGAGCTAAAAGCCAGCTGGCTCCTTTGGAACCAAGGTTATTTCCTAGGAATAAAGCAAACCGTAAAAACAATCCCGTGCGGTTGTTTGGTTGTTTGGTACCGGCCTTATCAAAGTGAGGCCCTTTTGAATGTGGTTGCCGGGGAAACCAGGGTCACAGTAACTGCTGTACTGTATGTTTCCCAGGGCTGGCCTAACGATTTGAGTTTGTCAGTTCTCAGCAAGATACCATGGACTGCCTCAGTTTACTCCTATAGTTCCTTTCTCTTGACTTTGGGGTTCTCCTTAACCCACCAGGTTAAATACAATAATTTAAGGGGTTTTAAGGGGTTTTAATTTACTCTGGAAGTGCCGGTACAGCACCAGCATTATTATAAATGTTAAAATCAAACTTCCCACATAATTTGGCAAACACTATTCAACTACATCCCCAAGATATTTCGTCACCTTAGTGCTGCCCATGATTATAGGTTTGACCTCTACTGCCTAACTGAGTTCCTCAGAGGTAGGTGTTTGGCATGATACATGGTGTTTCCCTATCTGTGTGTACCTCAGATGGCCGGCCCCGATATATCTTTGGGCATTGGTCACCAACTCCTCGATCTTCACCTGCAGGGCCAGTAAGCTCTCCTCTAGGTACTTACTTCCGCCATGCCACTCAGGATCTCATGTTGGGTTACCCATCACTGCCGAAGTGCAATAGAGCCGCATTCCATTAACAGTCAGGATCGTTCGGCGAGGGGGGCAGCTCCAAGGCAGAGGTCAGGAGCAGCAGGACAGCAGGGTGAGGGGCAATGGAAGTGCCAGCGCTTGAGAGCTTCCTGGCCAAACCAGTCAGGCTCCCCCGTCAGAGGGTCCACGATCAACCGGTAGATCCTGATCTATTGGTTGGTGATCACTGCTGTAGTGAAACTCAGAGCCCTGCTGGCACTGGGGATCTGATCTCAGCCCCAGAAATATCTCGTCCCCTTCAGTAGGGTTGTGCAGGACTCCAGAGTGCCTGCTCCTTGGGTTGGCTGGGAGCAAAGGTGGATGCAACAACTTCAAAAATAAGAAGAGGTGTTGCTAAGTAGCCTAGCTGGGTGCTGGGTGTTGCTTATGTCACCTTAGGTGGGTGTGGAAGAAAACATTGTCCTCACTCCCTCACATATCCGCTAGGTCTCAAAGTCTGACTGACCCCCCCTTGCGTTCAGAACTCCCTCGTGGGAGAGCCCTGGTGCGGCTGGAATCAGCTTACTTCTCAGAGACCTGGGCAGCGGCATTCACGCTTCACTCATTACATTCACACTCAGCGTGCTTTTCACACAGAAATTTTCCTCCCACATTTAGATGCATCTCTCATTATGGACCTCGTCCATATTTGGGGCGGCAAACAACATGTTTCCCCCCAGAACCACAGCAGTTCCCATCATTGCATGAACTTAGGTGCCTTATGTCCAGACGCAATACAACCTTCTTCCCGTACCCGGGGCGGCACCACCAAACCCACAGCAGTTCCCAGCACTGCATGAACTTAGGCCTACTTGGGGATAACAAAACAACCTCCCCGGAACCATTTTGCGTCTGACCTTGTTGCAGATTCAAGAAGTTCGGCTGGCGTGAGCCCACAAGAAGCAGACGACCCCACAGGCAGTCCTCCTCCACACCCCAGTAGAGATTTCAAAAGGACTCTTACCTCTCATTTGGCACCCAGGGGTGAAGGAGGACAGTCTGCAGCCTCTGTCGCTGTCTCCAATCGGGCGTTGCCGTCCGAGTCACGGCACCAAATTGTGGAAGAAAACACTGTCCTCACTCTGCGTTGTTTAAGCAACAAGTAGCAAGAGGCAGTTTTATTACGAGCTGCAGCAAGGGAAAAACTGGTTCGGACGGGGGGGAGCCCTCCCCCTTCCAAGGCAGATCTTCGAATACAAGCAATTCTGAAGCAGTTTCTATACTGTCTATTAGATATAATAACAATAACAATTAGTCTCCTTCCCATTCCAAACACCAATGACTAACAGTTATTTAGTTCCACCCAGATGCTCCTTATCGCAAGGTCCCTGCCAGAGTCAGCGTTGGATCCGTATCTCCGTATGGAGGCGAGAGGCGAAGGCAGCGTCTAATTCCAGATCTCGCCTTGTCAGGCCACAGACTTAGCCTGACTCTTGCTCTCTTGTTAACAAGACCAAGATGGCTGCACACAAATTCCCTCGTTCCCTTTTCCTGCCTCCACATGGGCTCGACTTCACTGCCCTTCCCAAGTGCCTTAAAACACCCCACTCCTGTAGAAAGTAGCTGGGGACCCAGAGCTCAGTGGTTGGAATGGCAGCAAGCATTGCCCAGGGCCAGCCTCCCTACATTCAAGTCCCCAAAGAAACTAAATAAATGAATGTAACTAAATAACGTTAAACAATCTTATGATGAAGAAACAAATACTAATCTAATTCTTACAGCACAACCCAGCTATTGTATAACCCACAGACCCACAGGGCTGGGAGTGGCAGTCTCACGCAGGGTGGAAGTGGCAGTGGGAGGGTAGGACGGCTGCTCCTGGGGAACTCAGGGTGATGCTTGTAGTAAGTTGAGGGTCAGTAACATGGAGTCAGCAGCCCTGAAGAGAGGCCTGTAACATGAAAACAGCAACAGGCCTGCAATCTAGTGAGCAAGACTCAGTAACACAGGAGCCAAGAAAGAAGCCCTAGTGATAACTGTCTGATTGTGTACGTTAGGTGGAGCATGGAAGGACATAGGGAGGCACCGAGTACAGACTATAAGCCAAAGGGGAGTAACGGAACATCTTAATGAGAAATGTCTTGGTACGAAGACTCCCCAAACACTAATGCACATACCCACCTAGGTTCAGGACTGGGTCGAAGTTGACAGCATGAAGGATAGTGAGTCCCCCTTCTGTAAGCTGAGGGGTGGTAACTAGGCAACAGAAGGTAACAACCTGGTACATAAAGAAGTGATGGAAGTTGTTTGCACCTATCTATAGAAGGGCACCGCAAATGGTGAACACCGACTGACCTGGGGCGGGGGAGGGTGCACTAGGCACCTGAAACGGCAGGTGGCATTGCCGAGACTTACAGAATGCACAGGGGCTTAACACTGGCTCACCACTGTTAATATCTGTCATTTGGCAATAGCCCTGCTATGTGTTGGTACCTTGTCAATGCTTGTAGCATGCACAGTGGCTCAGTGTTGAGTCTTTTCTGTGGACAACTGTTACTGCAGAGCATTTGGCAATAAACCTGCTAGATTGATTTCATCCTTGCCCGAATCTGTCATTTCCGGGGGCTCTCGGAGATCTCCTGTGTTGCCCCAAGTGCACAGAATCTTACCATTTTAGATGAAGGGAGCACACACACACATGCATACAGCCGAAAGTTTATCATCACCGATGGATTGGAGGTCCTGTCAGGAGTGCACCAGGACAGCCTTGAAAACCTTGACAGACAACACTGACTGTTGACAATGCTTATGGGTAACCTGTTTACATCCCTACTAAAAATAATAATAAGCAATCAAACACCAGATCTGAATGCAGGAGGGGTTTAGTGAGGTCTGGAGCGGGGAGGGCGGGTCTCCCACCTGGGGGTTTCATGTTAGACTGAGGTCTGGAAAAGACAGACACAAGTGCCTGATCCAGATCAAATCTCATTTTATTAAACTAAAACTACGGCTACATGATTTAATAAAAACTCATAATACATGAACACACGGGGAATGGAGCAGAACACACTGCATGTGGATACACAGGGCAACAAATAAAGCCCATTTAGCTACAATGGGTATGAAATGCGCATTGCTGAAAGAATAGAGAAACTGCTGCTTCTGTCACTGGTGCCGACTTTCCCTCCCCAAATCCCAGGGACCAGATTCTGCTGTTAGGAACACTGGTGCGAACCGAAGTCAGTGGAATAAAAAGTTGGGTAGGTCAGAAAAATGAGGGTTACTGAATCTTAATAGAAAATGTTATAAAACCAGCAAGAGACCCTAGTCCTGGATCACGGCGAAGCTACATGCTTTGGTTAAACTGCCTATTAGGTTTCCATGAGGAAGCTGAAAATGTTTTTAGAGAAACCAACTTCTAACCATCCCCACTTTTCCTTTCACAAATGTTTTGAATGAAGACCGTTTTTCCTCAAGCCTCTTGTACAGATCCTTCTCGCCTGGCAGCAGGGGCTCCTTACTGGCAATCTTTCTTATTATCTCTGCCACTTCCCTCACTTCCTTCAGGGTTTTTATTCTCCCGACATGATCAGCAGGTCAATGTATTCCGGGGTGGACAGCGGGTTGGGTTTCAGAGCGATTTCCTGCAGACGTTGGAGGCTGCGAGATGATTTTTCAATAAGATCCATTAATGTCCCTTCCACTGCAGCGTATTCCTGAGACAACTTCTCAACCATGCTCTGTGTGGACAGCACCTCCCCAGACGCCTTCTCGTACTTCTCCTTCAGTTGTGCATAGGTCTGTTTCTCTTTCACTACTGTGTATTCCCACTTGTACTTTTGATTGAAATGAACATTCCAGAAACATTTCCCAGGGCACACCGTGCAACATCCTGTATCGCTGTTTATAATTGCACACTCAAGCTTCTCAGCATCATTAGGGATCATACAGGGATAGTGACACGTATAGTGACACTGCTGGCAGTTGGATATATAATCACCTGTCCCAGAGATGTCTGTTTGCACCGGCACTGTTTTCTCCACCTCATACTCAAAGTCTTTATTGGCCTCCATGTCATCCTTACGCTGCTCCAGAGCTTCCTGTGTCTTGCGCAGTTCTTCCAGCTTCACCAGGCCGGCTTTGATTTGTGGCTGCAGCCCTTCCACGGCCGCCTCCAGCTTCTTCCGCTCCCTGAGGACCTCCTGCGTTAATGTCAGACTTCTGATTTCCAGCTTCGATAAAGCCCCAAAAAATGTCTTCATGCTCATGGCTCCCATGTCCCAGAACATTTTATCAAAATTAAAACTGTCCTTGTCAGCTGCAGTATTACAGGCGAAAAGTGCGGAGTTATTGAACTTGAAATGAACAGGGTTGCCTTGAGCATCTTTAGCACAAGGGACATCGGCTGTTTTAATGGCCTCTAGTACAGGGGCGGGTTGTCCATCAGCGAAGGTGACCAGGATTTGGATGTTGTCTTTTATGTCTTTCCCGAAAATGGAGAGCACCGAGTCAAACACGTACCTCTGGGCGTGGGTCAGACGAGCTAGTGCAGCCTGAACCACAACGCAGACAGCGTCGATGTGATCAATGGCCCCTGGAGTGGAGAAGAACTCTTGGATCTGCCTTGTTATCGCCTTGTCTTGCTCTATCCCTCTGGTGTCGCCAAATCCCGGTGTGTCTATTATAGTCAGTGAGTACGGGACTTGGAAACCCCTTGTGTGATTCACTTCATAGGCCGTCACCTCAGATGTCTGGCTCTGGGCCTGGCTTCTGTGTGTTATTTCATGGATGAGCTGGAACCTGAATTCATCCTTCCAATGCACACCCAGGACGTAGTTGATCATCCCGTTGATGAGAGTCGTTTTCCCCGACCCGGTGGCTCCCATCACCATAATCACTTTGTTAGGGATCTGCAGGGTTTCCTTCCCCAGCCTGTACTTTGGATTTGTTGCACGAGAATCAAACACCTTCTCTATGGGCAGAGCATACACCGTGGGCCGCCCTTCTCCTATCTGAGTGCTCTTTCTCAAGAAATCTTGTGCTAGTGTCTTTGATTCCTCTCCTGCTGTTGTAATTGAGACCTCCTCCCCAGGGTCACTCACAGCCCCGTCCGCACACACGGCCGACACCCGGAATCTGTAGGGCGTCTGTGACCTCAGTCCATCAATGGTGAAGGACTCGGTTCTCTGTCCCGTCCTTCGCTCCATCCATTTGTCCTTCTGCTCACCCCCGGTTTCCTCTTTATATTCTACCTTGTACTCGCTTATACTGACTCCATCGCCAATGACACTTGGACTGTCCCAGGAGAGGGTGATGGCTAATGATTCTACTATGGTTTTTTTTGGCTTTCCAGGCGGGCTGGTGGGTAGCGTCTTCACAGGATCACTCACGTCACTGCTCACACTTCGCCCTGGTTTGCTCACTGCTGTGTATTGAAACTCATACACGGTGTTTGGATGGAGCCCTGTTACTGTGAAGGTCCCCTTGTTACTGTTTGTACCCACAGCTGTCCAATTCTCCTGCCTTACAATCCTGTGCTCTACACTATAGCTGGATATTTCCTTAAATCCAAAGGCTGCCGGTTTCAGCGTGAGCTGCACACAGTCATGTCTGACTCCACCAATCAGAAGAGGAAGTGGTTTTGAGGGAAGTTCATAGTTAGCGCTGACCAAGTCTACATTTTCATAGAGGTAAACTGAAACTCCTGGGTTGTGTTCATCTGGGACAGAGGCCACAATGAATCGAGTCTTCCCATTAGATTTATTCACGCAAGTAAAGTCTGACACGGATTTTGCAGCTTTTCGGGCATTTTGGTTTCTTTCTTTGTCCTCAAACCACAGTTTGGGTTTCTCACGAACAGAACTGGCTGATTCAGGATCTTGGGAATTCTTCAGAAACTGGGTCTGAAGGCAGAACCTTAACTCTGATAAATATGGTTCTTGTACATGTAGTGAAGTGAACACAAAGGCTACGACAAACTCATTCGCAGGATCCAGAACTATTTCATCCAGTTTGTTCTGGGAGGACACCACTTCCACATCCCTTAGGATAGAAAGATAGGAACTGACAAAATTCATTTCTCGTTCTTTTTTATCCAGAAATTCGTTGAGCTGCTGGGTATTGAATGGTGACTGGTTTTTGTAGGTTACAATGTCCACCAGGGCCCCTTCTTCTTTTCCACCTCCACGAATGGAGGGTAGGATTCTTGCTAGTTCTTTCTGGAAAATCTGTCTGTGTTGCATGCACAGATCTTTGAATAGCTGGATTTTCTTCTGCATTTCAGGGAAAGTTCTCATTTTCGGATTCTTCACCAAGTCGTTGCATCGCATGTCCAGTTCTGTCAGTTGCTCCAGGGCCATTTGAACATCAAAGATCAGCGCTGTGCTGATCTCACGCACCATCTGAGCAGCTTTGGAATCCAGCTTGGTCAGCGGGTACAGCCAGACTCTCACCGGTACGGCCTTCTCCCCTTTCTCACCCAACAGTGCTGGGAGGGTGGAGTATGTTTTCATGGCATCTTGGTAAGTAACTGGATTGTTCTCAAGAGCAAAATCTCCATAAAACTTACAACTAAATTTTTCAGCCTGTGCTTTTTCTTTGTCATCCATTCTGAGAGCGCCTTCTCCTTCGATGGAAACGAGAGGTATCTTTTTAATGATAACATGTAGGTTTCCCTGTATCTCTTGTACGTTCTCAGATGAAGAAACTTCTCGATCAAAGACAAAAAAAGCCTGCGCCCCGTACAGCACAGCCGTGACCACGTGGGTGGCCGTGCCTTGGTCAAACACATCAGGGTAAGAAATATTGTGGCGTCCTAAATGGTTCATAGTCAGCTGCTTAAACTGTGTCGTAGTTGAGTACTGGAGAGAAACGCGGGCTTGATGCTTTGATGTCTTGGTATCATTTAAATACTCTGCAGAGCCGCTCACTTCCACCAGGCCAGACAGGAAACTGGCCTTCAGCGATGCAGTGACATTGAGAGCTGATGCCTTGTCTTCAATGGTGTCCGATGCAACAATCTGAAATTCAGTCTTGGGCTGTGGCTTTGCATCTATATCATTTCGAAGCGTCTCCAGGTCCCATAAAGTGATGCCTAGAACAGGAGAGATGGGCACATGGTCAGTGGCAGAGAGGGTAAGAAACCTTTCTGTTCTGTAACTGCCAGGTGTTTTCTAACATCACAATAAGAGCTGAATGTCCCTGAGCAAAGTGTCAGATCTGGCTTCTTCTAGTGTGTCCGTGTGTGAGAGGAAACATACATTAGTGAACACTGAGAGACTTAAGTCCACGAATTCTTTGCAACACCAAAGCTTTGGATCTCTACTAAGAAAGTCGTTGTAGAACTGTACTCATGTCTGTATGTAAACAGATCTTTTAACCAATACTCACTTTTCCAATACATTTCAGTTTAGCTAAAATGTATTCTTAGCTTAGTAAGAGTTGGCTGTAAGTTTGTATTTGGGTAAGATCTGAAACATGCATTAGCCTAGGAGGTGATGTGTCCAATCCTTTGGGACTGATCGAACTTTCAATCTGACCTTTGTCTCTGGGGACGAGCCCAAGATTGGGTTGCTATGGAAACAGTTGCTGGCTTCTGGGTAACCACTAAGGTATCATAGAGGCTGCTTTGCGCTAGCTTGGTAAATCCAAGCGGCCAGCTTTGGGGAGTGTCTGACCCATTCTTTGCAGTTTGCTCTAACTGAGCAATCGCAGCGTGCTTCCTTGACCCCAGTCATGGGGTGTGATTTACAATTTCATGGCGCTGTTTTGAGCCCTACCTTAATAATGTTTCTGTTGTGCTTTTGTAGGCCAAGATTATCACAAGATTATATCAGGGTTTAAAAAAGAGCAAGATAAATTCATGGAGCTTAGGTCCATCAATGGCTAGTAGACAAAATGGGTAGGGTTGGTGTCCTTAACGTCTCTCTGTCAGAAGTTGGAAATGGAGGACAGGAGAGGGCTTGCTAGAGGATTCCCTGTTCTGTTCATTCCCTTTGAAGTACCCGGAATTGCCCACTGTAGGCAGACAGGATACCAGGCTAGATGGACCTTTGGTCTGACCCAGTGTGATGTTTCAGAGGGGGAGCCGAGTTAGTCTGTGACTGGAAAAGTGTAAAAAAAAACCAAACTGTCCTGCAGCACCTTAGGGTCTGTCTACACTACCCCGCTAGTTCGAACTAGCAGGGTAATGTAGGCATACCGCACTTGCAAATGAAGCCCGGGATTTGAATTTCCCGGGCTTCATTTGCATAAGCGGGGAGCCGCCATTTTTAAAACCCCCCTCATTCGAACCCCGTGCAGCTCAGCTACACGGGGCACGAACTAGGTAGTTCGAACTAGGCTTCCTAGTTCGAACTACCGTTACTCCTCGTGGAAAGCTGCACGGGGTTCGAACGAGGGGGGTTTTAAAAATGGCGGCGCCCCGCTTATGCAAATGAAGCCCGGGAAATTCAAATCCCGGGCTTCATTTGCAAGTGCGGTATGCATACATTACCCCGCTAGTTCGAACTAGGAGGGTAGCGTAGACATACCCTTAGAGACTAACAAAACATGTAGATGGGATCATGAGCTTTCGTGGGCTCAACCCATTTCTTCAGATGAATGTTGCAATATTCCCTATGCCTTATGCAAATATGCCTAGAATATGAATGTCATGACTGTGATATGCCTTATTCAAGATACCTCATGTTACATATCATTGGAAAGGTTAAGAGTCACTGAATATGATTATTCCACTTGTAAGCACGTGTCCTTTTTGCAGAAGAACTTAAGAATATTGACCCAAGTACTTGAAATTTCATATTTGTTGCTTTGGGATACTCCTGCTGCTTATGCTCAGTTTGACGGACCGGCAGGACGAGATAATGACCAGTAAAGGAACGGAACCTTTCTGCGCCTGTGGGTCAGCCAGTGAGGAATGGCTACGGGGCCTTTCAGAGACAAGTGACCCTGTCAGCTGATAGTGGAACCCAGCTTGAATTCTGTACTGATACAGGGCTACGTCTAGACTGGCATGATTTTCCGGAAATGCTTTTAACGGAAAAGTTTTCCATTAAAAGCATTTTCGGAAAAGCACGTCTAGATTGCCAGGATGCTTTTCCGCAAAAGCACTTTTTGCGGAAAAGTGTCCGTGGCCAATCTAGACGCGCTTTTCCGCAAAAAAGCCCCGATCACCATTTTTGCAATCGGGGCTTTTTTGCGGAAAACCAATCTCTGCTGTCTACACTGGCCCTTTTGTGCAAAAGTTTTTCGGAAAAAGACTTTTGCCCAAATGGGAGCAGCATAGTATTTCCACAAAAGCACTAACAATCTTACATGAGATCGTCAGTGCTTTTGCTTCAATTCAAGCAGCCAGTGTAGACAGCTGGCAAGTTTTTCCACAAAAGCAGATGATTTTGCGGAAAACCTTGCCAGTCTAGACACAGCCCAGGAGTGGCTGGGAGGGGTCAGAGTAGGGAACGGAGGACTCCCGCCTTGTGCAAATCCTATTGATGGGTGGGGAGTGGGAGATCCTGGCCATCGGTTCTCCTGGTTACCCCACCCAAGAGGACTGCTGGAAACAGCTGGGACTGAACTGGAGGAAGAGACAGGGATCAGGCTGGAAGGGCATCTGGCCTGTGAAGAATATTACTAGAACCCCCATAGGGTGAGATCATCTGTGTAACTAGTTTCTTTAGTGTACCTCCCTTAGATGTGAGCTGTGTGTTATTTTCTTAGTAACCTCCCTTGTTCTGTTGGCTGCGTCTCTGGCCACTTAAACACGACTTTTCCCAGGTGGCACCCTGACTTCTGGTTTATAAGATCGCAGAGTCTATGTAATTTCTAACTCAGGGGCCGTGTAAGAGGCTGTGCCTCCCTTCCTTCACGCTGAGGAAAGAGCTGAACTTCATTTACATTGATGTCAGTGCTGCAAAGGGTGGGGAGAGGAACATCTGGGAGCTGCATTAAATTCCAGAGGTGTTCTCAGCGTCTGTACTTCAGCAAATTGATGTCAGTGCTGCAAAGGGTGGGGGGAGGAACATCTGGGAGCTGCATTAAATCCCAGAGGTGTTCTCAGTGTCTGTACTTCAGCAGCTGAGTGTGGGCCTGCTTCTGTCTTTGCTGGAGGAGGCTGCTGGCCCTGGTTCAGCAAGGCCAGGCAATAGCAGGCCCAGGCTGGCAGAGAAGGAATCTCAGTGGGGTCGAAGTAGCTGAGATGAGTCCCAGGGACCCTGCCCCACCACACCCAAGATGGCTGCTTTTATGCAAAGTATTTGTAACGTGGTCCAGAGGGGTAAGAACAGAACATGGGCCCTGGCTACAAGGCTCACCCAGACCCAGCTCCGGAGCTCAGGGCTGCCTTGGGGTTACCTGGGATGAGGGTGTCGTTGCGGCAGTCGTACAGCATCCCCAGCTGGAAGGGGCGACCCAGGGTCGGCATCACAATCGTGTCTCCTGACGCAGGCATGGCAATGTCCTAACGCTCTCCTTGGTATCGGCCTGCAAGAAATAACTTGTGTCACACCTGGGCCAGTGTCTGATCCATTCCCCTGGCTGCGGGCTCCACCCCTCTGTGACCGGGGGCGTTGGGTTCATCCCACCGGCCGTGTGGGGGTGCGAGTGTGGGTCTGTGTCACGCTCAGGGGCATCGTGCGCAGGGCTCAGAACCCGATTCCCAGCGGGAACTCGCCCTTGTAGAGCCTGGACACGGGGCTGGGTTCACTCCTGGGTGCGTCACTGTCACGACTGTGAGACACTGGGGGTCCCACTGGCCAGTGTGAACACAGAGCGCTGGGCGGGTGGTACCGGTGCAATGTCGAAAGCTCCTACTTTATAGGAATGTGCTACAGGTAGCACTTTCGTATTGGTACGATCACATGACACTGGCCCGGTGGCTGCGGCATCAGCTCGTTGGGGAGCTCAGCCCGGGAAGGGCGGCTGGGAGAAGTGGAGTTAAAGGAGGGAGCAGAAGGGCGAGAGGAGATGGCTGGGCAGGCTGAGACAGCAGGGACTGAGGCCTGACTCTGCTTTCCTCTGAAAGCCTCTTGTCTTCCCTGCTGACCTCCGACATGCAGTACTGCCCCTCCCCTCTTGGCTCTGCGATCCCACAGTGCTGCTCCTCAACATCTTCCCAGCCTGCCGCTCTGAGCAGACCCATCCTCCCTCGCTCGGTCCCTCCTGGGGCACGTCTCTGCTTCACTGCATCTGTTCAAACCTCTCGTCCTCAGCTTCACTGCCCTGCCCAATGCAGCCCCGGCTGCCCCCGACTCCCCCGGATCCATCCCCGCATCCTCGCTGCTGCGCCAGTAACGCCGGTCTCAGTTCAGCCGCTGCTGTCCAGCCGGCTTTGTGCCTGCTCCCGGGGTCCCCTCCCCACGGGGAATCAGCGCGCCATTTCAGATTGTGATAGGAGGGGAGACCTGTGCATGCTGTGACGGGGCGGGGGAAGGAGAGAGTGAGAGCATGGGGCAGCAGGGTGGAGGAGGGCAGATGGAAGATAGAGGCTTCGGCGTGTTACTGAGCATTGGCGTCTCCGCTGGGTCCAGGGAGAGCAGGGTCAACCCCCACTAGATGAATCCACCTGATCAGCTCACCCGGAGCTGGGGCCCTGCTTCGCCTGCAGCCTTGGAGCACTTGAAGCAGGATTGTCCCAAGATGGACGGTAGCTTTGTACAGACAGAAGCCTGGGGGCCGGGCTCTCACAGGACAGGGATGGGGAGGGGCACCCGTCCTCTGTATTAGCAGAAAGCCCTTCCCCAAGGAGAGCAATCCCTGTGAGGTGGAGAGAGAGGTCGTCGCCATTCAATGGGCAATGGAATTCCTATGCTACTAGCCCCCCCCCTCGGACTGCTAGTCACAGACCGTGCACCCTACAGTGGCTGCACACAAGGAAAGGCCCAGTGCCGGGCCATGCGCTGGTGCCTCCCCTGCAGCCCTGCCTGTTTCTGATCCAGCACGGAGCAGGGAGAGAGAACGCTAACGCAAACTGTCTGTCCCGCCCGGGGGAGGATCAAGGGCCCAGCCCTAGAGACTGGGAGCTGCACTTGCAGGTGGGGGGCGAGGTATGTTCTGATTAGGGTTGGCTGCTCACTGACCCAGAGTGGGGAGAACCCCTCCCCGAGCCCTGGTAGGCCAAGCCTAGCCCCGCCCCTTTACTTGACTGGAAGGCAGGGGGTGGGACTACCAGTATAAAAGCCCAGGCCAGGAGCTCAGTCAGGCCCCAGCCACTGGAGGAAGCAGACGCCCATCCCAGGCTCCCAAGCTGGGAGGCCACTGGGGACTGGCCCAGACCACCAGGACCCCAGACTGCCGAGGAAACCCTGCTGAGCTTCCCCAAGGATTCAGACCTGATGACCCCCAGGACTGGGATGGGGCCAGGTGCATCCTGAGAAGGAGTCCAGAAGTGGCTTGGGGCAGCCAACGATAGTCAGGCTGAGTTAATGGTGCTGTAGGGAGTCAGAGTGCTGTGGGTCACATCTCCGCTGACCCCCGTGGCAGCCAGACCTGACTCTCCCTGCCCCCTGTGCCCTCTGTCAGCCCAGTCTCTGGGTGTCTGCTCCCCCTTGCCACTACGAACTGTGTCTGACTGTCCTGCCCTGTACGAAGGGCCTGGGCTTGAAGGGGAACGTTGGGTGTTTGAGTCATGTGTCTGGCCATGTCCCAGGGGCTGCACTTACAGACTGGGGCCCAGCCAGCCCACAGGGTGGGGGCCCTGGATTGGATAGGGACTCTGTCAGCCCAGTCTCTGGGTGTCTGCTCCCCCTTGCCACTACGAACTGTGTCTGACTGTCCTGCCCTGTACGAAGGGCCTGGGCTTGAAGGGGAACGTTGGGTGTTTGAGTCATGTGTCTGGCCATGTCCCAGGGGCTGCACTTACAGACTGGGGCCCAGCCAGCCCACAGGGTGGGGGCCCTGGATTGGATAGGGAACATTTGCTTACCCCTGGGCATACAAAGGCCAGGAATGGGGTGGGTGCTGGCCCAAGCAGAGGCCTGAGCCGCAGGACGGAGCTGTTGGCCTACACCCCACGGCTAGCCTCTGAGGGAGGAGAAGACACTGAACAGGGCTGACAGCCCATCAGCAAAGCCAGTGGAAACCTTTCAGTTGGCTTATCATAGAATCATAGAATAGAATCATAGAATCATAGAATAATAGGACTGGAAGGGACCTCGAGAGGTCATCGAGTCCAGCACCCCACCCTCAAGGCAGGACCAAGCTTCATCTACACCATCCCTGACAGATGTCTATCTAACCTGTTCTTAAATATCTCCAGAGAGGGAGATTCCACCACCTCCCTTGGCAATTTATTCCAATATTTGACCACCCTGACAGTTAGGAATTTTTTCCTAATGTCCAATCTAAACCTCCCCTGCTGCACTTTAAGCCCATTACTCCTTGTCCTGTCCTCAGAAACCAAGAGGAACAAATTTTCGCCTTCCTCCTTGTGACACCCTTTTAGATATTTGAAAACCACTATCATGTCCCCCCTTAATCTTCTTTTTTCCAAACTAAACAAGCCCAGTTCATGAAGCCTGGCTTCATAGGCTTCTCTAGACCTTTAATCATTCTTGTCACTCTTCTCTGTACCCTTTCCAATTTCTCCACATCTTTCTTGAAATGTGGCACCCAGAACTGGACACAGTACTCCAGCTGAGGCCTAACTAGTGCAGAGTAGAGCGGCAGAATGACTTCACGAGTTTTGCTTACAACACACCTGTTGATACAACCTAGAATCATATTTGCTTTTTTTGCAACAGCATCACACTGTTGACTCATATTCAACTTGTGGTCCACTATGACCCCTAGATCCCTTTCCGCCATGCTCCTTCCTAGACAGTCGCTTCCCATCTTGTATGTATGGAACTGATTGTTCCTTCCTAAGTGGAGCACTCTGCATTTCTCCTTATTAAACCTCATCCTGTTTACCTCTGACCATTTCTCTAACTTGCTAAGGTCATTTTGAATTATGTCCCTATCCTCCAAAGAAGTTGCAACCCCACCCAGTTTGGTATCATCCGCAAACTTAATAAGCGTACTCTCTATCCCAATATCTACATCATTGATGAAGATATTGAACAGTACGGGTCCCAAAACAGACCCTTGAGGAACTCCACTTGTTATCCCTTTCCAGCAGGATTTACCTTTCCAGCAGGATTTAGCACTGTTAACAACAACTCTCTGACTATGGTTATCCAGCCAATTATGCACCCACCTTATCGTGGCCCTATCTAAGTTATATTTGCCTAGTTTATCAATAAGAATATCATGCGAGACCGTATCAAATGCCTTACTAAAGTCTAGGTATATGACATCCACCGCTTCTCCCTTATCCACAAGGCTCGTTATCCTATCAAAGAAAGCTATCAGATTAGTTTGGCATGACTTGTTCTTCACAAACCCATGCTGGATTGGATAGGATTAATTGTGGGGAACAGCTGCTGTGAGCCAGCAGGAAGGAACCTGTGGCATTGGACTCCTTTGGGGTGGTGCTGTGGTTTGACACCCCGCTGGGAACCGAGCTAAGCGAGGTCTCATAGGGTACGTCTAGACTACAAAGCCTCTGTCGACAAAGAGTGTTTGGACTACAACCAGTTCTGTTGACAAAGCAAGCCGCTTTGTCGACATGAGAGTGTAGACGCAAAGGACAGTGGAGATGCAATAACGCCTTCTGTCCACAGAACTCTGTCAGCAAAAGGCGTTATTCCTCGTAGAATGAGGTTTACCGCCCTCGACAAAAGTGCCACGTTCTGTCGACTTACTGTTGACAGAACTCAGCGGTAGTCTAGACATAGGTATAGGTTTGTCAAAGAAAGTCCACTTTTGTCGACAAAACCCTGTACTTTAGACACACCCATAGAGTGTGAAAGGGAGCCTGAACCTTTGCATAAAGGTCCCCAGGCTGCAGCACTCGGCCACTCTGCTTTCAAGAGGCGCTGGGCCAAGCTACGTCCCTGTGTAACCCCCACTACCCAGCAAGCCCCTCACCTCCCTACTGGGGAGCCCACAGAGAGAGATTCAGGAGTCTGTTACTATCTCCCCTAAGAGGAATGGCCGTTGAGCTCCAGGCTCTGTTCGTAGCTCTAGAAATACCCGATTCATTCCCAGAAGGTGACCCAGGCCAGGTTCTCCTTCCCCTTGGGTTCCCTGACTCTGCCCACTAGACATTCTTCTCCCAGCTCCCACAAACGAATCCAGAATCCTGGCACCAACGCCCTAGTGCGAGCCCACAGCTAGTAGTGCAACCCTGTGGGGCTAGGACCTGCCATCAGCTTACTCCTGGTGGAGTGAAAACGTTCTGTGCTGCAGAACCAGGGCAAGGCTGAGGGCTCAGACCTGGCTGGGGCAATCCATGCATCCAGGGGAGAGCCTGCAATGACCAGGGAGATCCTGTCGCATGCAAAACAATTTCAGATGCATTCGGAAGGCGTGTGGGTGTGTGAACAGGTGCCATTGGTTCAGTGTTTGCATTGGGAGAAGAACTGTCTCTGGATGCAGGGAGGGGGCTCAGGGCGCCAGACCCTGCCCCGACAAACTCCAGCATGGCCTGAACTTGACTTAATAAACACGCATTGCCGGAAACAAACCCTAACTCCCTACGGTGTCACATTAGCGCCCATAAGGGACCTGGCTGCCTCAGGCTAACGAGCTACCGGCCTTTTGCTCATGTGGCAGTGGCAGGTACCCCCTGACCCTGCACCCCATCTGCTACAAGTTGAGACTCCACCAGCCAGTCGAACAGGGAGGGTCCTTCCCCCCCCTACAGCACAGCCCAGGTTCAATGCGGGCATCGAAGTGAGGGGCCAGGCAACCTCAGACCCTTTGGGGTGGGCTCCACAGGGCCCCGAACTCCAGTGCTCAGCTCAGCCTCTTCTCTTCGTGTTTTCCTGTCCAGACTGACTGTTCTCCAAGCCACCCCCTCCCTTCGTTCAGACCCCTTTCCTTCCCAGGTGAGAACTGGTTGGGTCACTGTCTACATGGGCAGTGCTTACAGACACAGGCCAGTAGGGGTCACCCAGATCCACAGCCCAAACATAGCTTGGTCCCTAAGGAGCAGGAACAGCAGCGGGGCCAAGAACTGCCTGGGCGAGGGGATGGAAGCCCTGTGACCTCTAGCGCAAGGGTCACCAACCAGTCGATCGGGATCTGCCAGAATATCTGGGAGCCTTTGACGGGTGAGCCTGGCTGGTTTGGCCGGAAGCTCTCAAGTGCCGGCACTTTCATTGCCCTTCCCTTGCTGTCATGCTGCTCCTGCCCTCTGCCTTGGAGCTGCCCCCCTGGGAGCCTCCTGCTTGCCGTGCAGGCTGTGGGAAGGAGAAAGGGGGAGGAGGGCGCTGATTTCAGGGTGTCCCTCCTCCTCTCACTCCTGTACCCTGTCGCCACACAGAGAAGGGGATGGAGGGAAGCAAATCTGCACTCACAGGGTATGTCTACACTACCCCGCTAGTTCGAACTAGCAGGGTAATGTATGCATACCGCACTTGCAAATGAAGCCCGGGATTTGAATTTCCCGGGCTTCATTTGCATAATCCGGGTGCCGCCATTTTTAAATCCCGGCTAGTTCGAACCCCGTGCCGCACGGCTACACGCGGCACGGAGTAGCTAGTTC